CAGATGGCTCGATGGCTGGAGGTCCTGGAAACATATGACTTCACAATTGAACATAGGGCTGGACTGAAGCATGGCAACGCAGATGGCTTGTCACGGATTCCTCCATGTGGTCCATGTTCAAAATGTGAACGCCATGAAACTAGAGATTCACAATCTTGTGATGAACATATCCGCCAAATTACAGAACAAGATGAAAACTGGCTAATACCAACTCACGATATGAGGAGTAAACAATCTGACGATGATGTATTGAAGGATGTAATTGTGTGGGTCAAAAATGGTGAACGACCAACCCGACAAGAAATAGCTTGTTTGAGTCCAGTGCACAAGCAGTTCTGGGGCCAATATTCGTCTCTTAGTCTGGAAGATGATGTTTTGTCAAGGACAATCAATCCTGGAATTCATGGAGATGTGATTGTTCAAGCTGTTATTCCGAAAGCTTTATATCGTGATGTCTTTGACGGCCTACACAGTCAACTTGGACATATGGGAATAAATCGCACTGTGGACAGGATAAGGTCTCGTTACTACTGGCCTAATTACAGAGAATACATCGAAGAGTGGTGTCGACAATGTGAAGCATGCCAAGCGGCCAGTATGCCCAATAAGAGACCGAAAGCTCAATTGAAGTCTCATGTTGTAGGCGCACCATTAGAAAGAGTTTTCATTGATTTGTTAGGTCCTCTTACTGCAACTTACAAAGACAATTCCTATGTCTTAGTGATGGAAGATTCCTTTACTAAATGGCCAGAGGCTGTCCCATTAGCCAGTATAACTGCAGAGGTTGTAGCGGAAGCTGTCAGTGACACTTTGATATCTCGATTTGGAGTTCCACTGTCACTTCACACAGACCAAGGAAGACAATTTGATGGTGACCTACTAAAAGAGCTTAGTGACCTTTTAGGCATTGACAAGACAAGAACTACCCCGTATCACCCTCAGGGTAACGGTATGGTGGAACGATTCAATCGCACACTGGAACTAATGTTACGAAAGGTGATCTCAAAGAATCAGCGAGATTGGGACGAAAAATTACAGTGGTTACTGTTTGCTTATAGGTCCTCTGTTCATCCCAGTACCGGTTATTCTCCTGCTAGATTGATGTTTGGAAGAGAGTTGAAGCTACCCATTGACCTTTTGTTAGGCCCTGCCCCTAAGGGACATGATCCAATCATCTACCAGCAATATGTTGTGGAGACGAGGGAAGCACTCTGGGAAATTCATGAACATGCCCGAGAAACTTTGCTGAAAACTGCAGAGAGACAGAAACATCATTATGACAATAAACTGGTCACCCAGCGTTACCATCCTGGAGACTCAGTCTGGCTTCATGCAACGGCACGTAAAGTAGGACTGTCACCCAAGTTACAAAACCGATGGGAAGGCCCATATATCATCAAACAGAATCTGAGTGATTTGGTGTATGAAATCGATACTGGTCGCAAACTGAAAACAGTGCACCACAACCGTCTCAAGCCATTTTTGGGGCCAAATTTAGATGTTGTTGACTCACCACCGAGAGATGATCACGGAGAAGATGAGACTGAGCCTTCTGAAGAAGTCCCTACAACCACTACTCGCAGTGGTCGAGTTGTGAAAACACCAAAGTTTTTGACGAACAGATCCTATAACCAGAGAGGTGGTCGTGGACGAGGAGGGCCAACCAGAGGGGACGGAATGAAGAGAAGAAATCACTTGAAATGCCCAGTATGCAGGAGGAAATTTGACTCTCCCCACAACATGTCCATGCACAGATGTACTACCAATTATAGGTGTCCCAATCCTAACTGCAACATCCCTTTTGAAAGGCCAAGTGGGTTGGCGAGGCACCTCACCAGATGTCGGGCAGACCCAATGACCATCTATGATCCCTTAACTACAACACCCATCACTATGCCAACACTAGTCCCACAAATAGAAGAGGCATCAATACCCATCACATCCATCACCCTTCCAAAACTACCAGTAGCCACCATCCCATCAACCCTGCCTGAGGAGGAGACTTATGAAGATATGGAAGCACCAGTTGCCCTGCCTTTTTCATTCTCGGATGAAAAAGACCTAGGCCTTGGGTGCGTCAACCCCAACAAAGTCCTAAAAGCCACCTTAGGAAATATGCTGACCAAAACCATAGAACATGCACTGAATGTCTTGCAGGATGAACCAACAGAAACGTCCTCAGATGAACACTCAACAACTACCCCTACTGTGTCAGACTCCACATCTACCCCTACTGTGTCAGACTCAACACCTACTGTGTCAGACTCAACACATACTTCTACTCTTAATGTGTCAGATAGACTCACTCAAGTTTTTGGGCCATTGAGGCCTCCCACAGCTCAAAACTCTACCCCTCCTACCGCTCCTACAGATGAGGTGCCCACCAAATCACCCCCGAGAAGAGTAATAATCACCCCCTCTATACCCCCACCCCACTTTCCCAAGCTTATTCCTTTGGAGCCTTTGGAGGGAGATGATGATAGCATCCTCGCCAGTAAGCTGGACCCCCGTCTTTTTGGGGTTGGAGCACCCTCTTCAGAGGCTGACAACAAGAGGGCCCTATACATGCAGAAATGCTTAAAGAAGGGAAGGAAATCCAACAACAGAAAGGTCAATGTATTACCAGGCGTCCGACGAGATGAGTACTTTACCATTCAAGAAGGGGAAAGACAAATCACTTGGCAAATGTCAAGCCTGACACTCAATCCGTTGAATCAAATCTCATTCCAGGGTGAAAAAGTATCCATCGCAACACAGACTGAGGACAGTTAATAATTATAATTACCAACATCGCATGCCATTATGAACATTGTATCCAGTCTCAACATCGCATGCCATTATGAACATTATATCCAGTCTCGACATCACATGTCATTATGAACATTGTATCCAGTCTTGACATCGCATGCCATTATGAACATTGTATCCAGTCTCGACATCGCATGCCATTATGAACATTATATCCAGTCTCGACATCGCATGCCATTATGAACATTGTATCCAGTCTCGACATCGCATGCCATTATGAACATTGTATCCAGTCTCAACATCGCATGCCATTATGAACATTATATCCAGTCTCGACATCACATGTCATTATGAACATTGTATCCAGTCTTGACATCGCATGCCATTATGAACATTGTATCCAGTCTCGACATCGCATGCCATTATGAACATTATATCCAGTCTCGACATCGCATGCCATTATGAACATTGTATCCAGTCTCAACATCGCATGCCATTATGAACATTGTATCCAGTCTCGACATTGCATGCCATTATAAACATAGTTCAGGTATTGTTATTGCATGCAAGACATTAAAACTACAACAATTTTAAATGAATTCAATGTAAATGTTCGGATTTACAATTATAGTGATTCTTCGGGACGAAGAATCTAAGAGGGGAGTAATGTAGCATTTTTAGGAACTCAGAAAATTTACAAATTCATTTCACCTGATCTTTTACGTGCCATACTTTCTTACCTTCAACTGTTCAATTCATTAGTTCGATCCTGTACTTGCATTATATTTCAGCATTCTTATATCATTTTATATTAATGTAATCTCTTACTATCTTCTCATTTTCAAGTATAAACATAAAATGTTCACGTTTGTTTTTACCGGAAGTTTAGACTTTCTTAACTTCCGGGACGCATGCGCGGTGCGTCAATTGCCATTTGTGGCGTCTTGGACTGTCTTGGACATGCGCAGTGCACAGGTAGCTTTCGAAAGCGGGAAGATCAAATCTTGAAGCTCTTGAACAAAATCTAGTAAAAATGTAAGAATATAACACAAATTATGTACTAGGGGGGTGGGAAAACGTATATAAAGTGTAAATAGATGTATATAGAAAGTTAAATTCAGTTTTCTTGGTGTTTTCTATGAGAAATAAGGATTGAAAAGGAAAGATAGAAATCACCCGGGGATCGAAATCACCCGGGGATCTTCGATGAGACCAAAACCCGGGGTTTATACTTGAGCCAATCGTCCAGATGCCGATGTCTTCACATAATATATTCTGCACAAGAATAATTAAAGGCCCTGTATAAATTCATATCCTGTCCAAGGATATTTGTCAATTAAAGGCCCTGTATAAATTTGTATCCTGTCCAAGGATATTTGTCAATTAAAGGCACTGTATTAATTTATATCCTGTACAAGGATATTTGACAATTCAATATTAAAGGCCCTGTATAAATTCATATCCTGTCCAAGGATATTTGTCAATTAAAGGCCCTGTATAAATTCATATCCTGTCCAAGGATATTTGTCAATTAAAGGCCCTGTATAAATTCATATACTGTCCAAGGATATTTGTCAATTAAAGGCCCTGTATAAATTCATATCCTGACCAAGGATATTTGTCAATTAAAGGCCCTGTATAAATTCGTATCCTGTCCAAGGATATTTGTCAATTAAAGGCCCTGTATAAATTCATATACTGTCCAAGGATATTTGTCAATTAAAGGCCTTGTATTAATTTATATCCTGTACAAGGATATTTGACAATTCAATATTTAAAGGCCCTGTACTAATTTATATCCTGTACAAGGATATTTGACAATTCACTTATTAAAGGTCTTATGTCAAATACAGTATAATAATGTATAAATGAACATATTAGAGCATCACCCAGTAGTGATGCTCTAGAAGCTAAACCTCAGTGTGTAATATCGTGGTATCGCGTAAACGTGCTATTTTTCTTTGATTCTTGATGCACTGGGATCCCTATGATGAGGTTAACTGAGGTGATGACTAGCTGAGGGCACTGGCCTAACCAGGATGTTACTTTGATGTCAGTCTGTGATGGGACGCCAGCCATAGATGTCATGCACTATGTGACGCCTGCATATGCTTGGAACCTATAAGCTTTAAGTTTATACCGCACGTTACCGCTACAATAATTCCTCAGTGCTACAGAAGAGACACCTTCGATGGGCATACAGCGCAATAAATAGATGAAGATATATTTTCTTTTCATACTACAATTACAATGTTACAAAATACATAAAAGCTTCATGCCTCTTTATGAGGCTTAATTACATTTTACATAATCACAAATGTAAATATCAATGCAAACAAATCTACACGCTACCTTTATTACAATTAACTGCTTTACTTGCTATATGTGATTTCATATTCACATTGTTATGAGTAGTACACACACTTAGGCAAATTTTGCACTTTTATTCATAGAATTGTGACACATTTAGGGTACTTATATCAGTAATCATTTATTTAACACATCACCCACAATGCATCACTTCCGGCAACGCTATAGTAGCAATATTGTTCACCGTAGTGTCCCATTGTTTATTCGCTGTTGTTGCATGGTAGAAACCAAGAGTGTCATCCGCATTAATCCGGACCGCTATTCCATGGCTAGTTGGACCGCTATTTTGGCCACCTGATGATATATAATAATAATAGGTTGTGGATATAGTTGGTGTGTTGTGATAAAACCAAAATACCATGCTGTGTCCATTGACACAATTGTCAAGATTTCCCAAGCAGGTTGCGCGCTGATTTCCGAAATCTATCATCTGTCCAGTTCCGTCAAATGATATGGTCTTTCCTACCTTACCTGATACGAAGTAAGGAGAAGACCAAAGTGTTCCACTGAGAAGGCCATCGGTTGAGGTGATTGTTGTCCCACTCACAGAATCAATGTTAAAGGTAATGTGCACATCTGAAACTTTTATAAAAAAAGCTACAAAACGTATCAGACGGAGCAATGGATGTATTATTTCAGTATTGTAATGTATTGAATCGCTGCTAGACAAAATATGATAGGCTCGTGGCAATTCTGGAAATAAAACTGTACAATTTTAAAATTGATATTGAAATTATTTAAATTCGCATACCGGATTTTCTCGCATATAAGCCCTGGGTGTATAACTGAAAGAAGGGGTAATTTCGTCTGTTATTTTACCTCTTATTTTTCGCCCATGGGCGTATAAGTGTGCTACTTTCGATTTTTGGCCAAGTGGGCGTAAAGGCGAGAAGAGCTGATGAATACAATGGAATGTTAAGTTGTTAATGAATGTTAATACAATGAAACAAAGTAACGACAGAACGATCTGCCAGTGACAAAATACTCTTGAATTTATTGAAAAAATCAATAAATAGTCAATTTTTATAGGCCCATGGGTGTATAAGCGTACAACATTCGATTTTTGGCCCATGGGCCATTAGGGGGGCGTATATGATGCGAAAAAATCCAGTAATGAGATTTGAGACTTAATTACTTCCCATGACAAGAACATTTCTAAATGATTGAAAACAATAAGTAGTCATTTTGCTTATTTTTCTGAAACAAAAACGTGTAAAAGGCCCCATCTAAAATTTGAAAATATGTTTTTATCATTCATTTAGTATTTCTCATGACTTTAAAAGTTATTTAGAGATTTTTTAAAAAATTAGGGAAGGAAAAGTATTCCGATTTTCATTTTTCAAATATTCAAATTTCCCGCCATTTTTCAAATAAAAGTTGAACGTTTTTAATCATTAAATATTCCACTATATAGTGCAAAACATATTAACTTTTTAACACCACTGCGAAGATTAAACAAAGGACATAATATTTCAATATTAAAATGTCATACCTTGTGTACCACTTAAATGTTTTAGCATATTCAAAAATGTACACCCTAAGTGACATCATCGTAATGTCGTAGGGTGCAATTATGTTTTGAAAAAAAATTCAAATATATTTCTTTTGACAACTGTGTCTAAATAATATGCTAAACTTTCAAAATAAACCAACATCGATTGTCTGACTGGGTTGAAAAGAAGAATATATTGTGTTTAAATATTGCTGCACCATTGGTTTCTATAAGAACTAAAATTTTAAAATGCATTTTTCTCTGAACTACTTTCACACATGGATGAGTTCATTTCTCGCTTATTTATCAACCAATTTTCATTATTATTCCTGCAAAAGACACGTTGGAATTAATACTACGCATAGGTGTGAATTATCACTTATTAAAAGATATATGTGTGCTCTAAAATTTAGTTTTGAATTAATTCACGATTTTTCGAACAAAAAGTCCTTCAAAAACACTTTTTGAAATTCAAAAACAAAGTTTCGCACATCACATTTTGATAACATTTGGTAAGACTACAAAATAAGCCACAGTAGTTTAAACTTTATATATGACCTTTAAATAGAATAAGCACTGGGCGCACATAGTGTACCCGTTTTCAAATGACCATGGCCACTGTTGTAACTTGGAGACATTAAAATAAAGTAGCTGTAAAATTTCAAGCAATCTGATTAAATACCTTGAGGATTAATGACAATTAAGAGCAGAAACAGGATATTTCAGCAATTACAACGGCGGCAATTTTTAAATTTACGAGACTTTTTGCCAAAAGTTCTTGACTTCATACTATCAATCTATAGCTCTCTGTACATTTTTAAACAAATTAATGCAGTACGTTTGGATATCTCAAGTTGCGGGTACTTTGAATCTTTGCGCCATATGTTGTCGAAACTTGTAGACATTATTCTTAACCTATGAAATAAGCTACCTGTAAAACTCCTTGCACATTAAGAGAATAATGCCTGGTTTTTCGAGATAAAAGTGCATTTTGTAAGAGGCGAACTTTTGGGACGCCACTTATGGGACGATTTTACTTTTTACACACATTTTAAGAGCAAAACTTGTTAAAATACTCATGCAATTAAAACAAATAAAGCTGAAGACCTGATTTTTGGCCCCGGGGGGTTCACTCCAAATAATTTGGGTAGGTATGTGCAGCACGGCCAATTTTAGCTTTGAGTATAAAACATGGAAAATGGCGGCCATTCTGAGAGGAAAAAAACAGGGAAAATTGTCTATGAAAGTACCCTTTTTAAGTCAAACTACAAAAAATTGTATTAAATTCGTTAAAGGCCGAGTTCCGGGAAATATTAACACAATTGAACATGTTGAACAACTAATATACATACTTTTTGTGGCTTGGTTGAATGGCTATTAATCCCAAGTTCCGATCTGCCTCATCAAGAAGACGATAGAGTGAAAAAGATTATGTCAAGCGGAGTTTATAATTTTTGTGCAAATTTTCTTCTTGGATCGAAAAATTTCATTTTAATTCGATTAACTTACGATAGGTGGCAAAAGGTCTAAAGGTAGGTCACGTGACACAAAACAACGAATCATATGACACGAAACAATGATTCATTCGCCAGATGGCGCAGTTAAATGAGGTCAATTTTACGACAAACGAAAACCGTTTAGCTCAGCTTCAATTTTGCTCTCGCAGTCGAACGAAACTGACACTTCTTTCGTTGATATCTAGGTGAGTGATTTTTTTCAGGCTCCGGTATTTTGACAAAAGTAAGTTCACGTCGTAGCCATTCTTAGGGGCAGGTTTGAGGCACCAACGATTTATTTTGAAGTTTTTCTAAGGAATTATTCCCGATTTCCGGTATTGCCCCTTTAAATCAGTTGTAAAGGCCTGGAACAAATCACTAGAAAAGTTGATTTTTTAGTCAATTATAAGTCTCAGAGGAATTAAACATGGAAACTTTCGATCTTGAGAGGAAATTGAGAAGGAAATAATGCTCAAAAGGGGGTCTTTGGGGCGGCACATAGGTATTAAGAAGTACATTATATTGGAGTGAAACCCCCGGGTTTTGGCAATAAAAGGCGAGCTTTTGAGACACCACTTATGGGACAAATGGACGTTTTTATTGACACATTTTAAAAGTGAAGCCATTTGAATTGTCATCGGGGATTTCAAATGAGGTACCAATATGTTGAAAGACGGCTCGGACAGACGGATAGTTGGTGACAATAGCTTACCATATTCTATGGCCACTGAGATTTTACAATAGTTCACGGAGTTCCAGATGGAATCACTTCTAGCCAAGAATTGGCTAGAGACTCGAGTAAACAATAGCTCACACCATATGAGCTACATACTGACTGAACAACTAATTCTAAATGTTATATTAATCATTCTATACCTGGTAGCGCTGGAGCAGTAGTAACGCCCTCTGTCGTCGGCGCTGCAGTAGACGTAGTTGTAGCAACAGGTTCTGCAAGTTATATAATTTCATTTTGAAACGAGGCGAGCTTTTGAGACTCCACTTATGGGACAAATGGAAGTCAAGACTGTAAATGTAAATATATATCAGTTAATTAATTTGTCGTATTTTTGAGACCAATTGTTGGTACCTAAAATGCTGTAATTTAATTGGTCAACATAATTAACTTCAACCAATAGAAACCTTACCTGTTGTCACATGACCCAATATTATAATTATTACCCGCCAATTTTACTTACCTTCACTTACAACAAAGAACTTCTTATATCAACAGCTTCTTTTTTAAAATTCCAGGTAAGGTTTTTATACTTTCATTTATTTCAAATCAAGTTATTTTCAATATTGTAATTAATTAAAGTAATTTCAATCTTTTATTTACAACAAAGAACTTCTTATATCAACAGCTTCTTTTTAAAATTCCAGTCGACGTTAAAATTCATTTTCATTTCTTACAATCTTACAGCATTAACGCTTTGGAATTACTAGCTATATTATTAGCATTAAAACTCTGGGGTCACCACTTCCAAAAGAAACGCCTTTTGGTCAATTGCGACAACCAAACTTCGGTATTGGTGATCAACACCGGTAAATCCAGAGATAAGTTTTTACTGTTGCTCTTAAGAGAAATTTCTTTCGTAGCAGCTACGCACAACTTTCAAATCAAAGCAACACACATACCCGGTCATACCAATGTGTTAGCAGATAGTCTCAGCAGGTGGCATACAGACTTAGAATTCCAAAACAAAGCTAAACAATTGCTCCCAGTGAATTCAGTCGAGTACAAAATCAAATCTTATCATTTCAATTTTAATGAATGTTGGTAATTTTTCCAGATCAAATCAAGGAGCTCAAAAAGCAAGCTAATCACAACATGATGTCTGCATATAACAGCAAAACCTGGCAGAATTTATACACACAATGGAGGATACTTTTCTTTTATTTTGTGTTTATTACAACATGGCATTTTTACCAGTTCAAACAGACACCATTCTTATTTACATGCAATTCTTGAGTAGGACTTTCAAATCAGTGTCTTCAATTTTAAATTATGAAAACGGTATAAAAGTTCTACATTTATTACATGAATTGCCCTTTCCTTTACTTCATAGGGAATTCCAATACAAACTCCTTTATAAAGGTTTACAAAGAAATAATCTACACACCGTCAAAAGAGCTTTACCTATTACCCCAGAAATTTTAACTCAAATTTTTGGCTCTTTAGATCTAACCTCAGATTTAGAGTCCACATTTTGGTTTCTAATCCTCACACTTACGTTCTTATTCGCAAGAGCAGGAAACATTATCCCTTATACAACTTCTACTTTTGAGAACAACAAACATCTGTTACAACAAGATATTTTCAAACAAGACTCAGATTTCCTCATAAAACACTCTAAAACAAACCAAGCAGCACAACGCATTTTAACACTTCCCGTGTTAGCCAAAGAAAGTTCTCCCTTAAATATTGTGTCCGCATTCAATCATAAAAATTCTTTCCATATATATAAGAAAACTTCTCCAGCCTTTCTTTACTCAAAGAATGGTAAATTGATTACATTTACAAGGCAAAAATTTGTTAAAATTTTGAGAAACAAATTACAAAATTTAGGACATAATCCTTCATTTTATAGTGGACATAGTTGCAGAAG